AGCAGAAGTTATAAATGGATCCATAAAATAAATGATGAGGAAACCCAAACATTAAATAGCTGTTTACTCACAAAAACACACCATCCAATCATCAAATGAGGCAAGATTTGTTGAAAAAAACCCTGTACAAGCTCATACTTAATGGGCATATCCTAATGTGCATAGGCTGAGTAAATGCTACACTGCCAAGCTGAATAAAAGTACATCTTAAATTCTCAGGGATTGATTTTGCAGAATCCAAGCTCTTTAAACATACCTTGTGATGTATTATAAGTGATGCTGGTACCAATGGTCATTAATAACGTTGTCTGGTATTTCCCTTTATAATCATAATTTTAAGTTCCTTGTAACTTATTATCCATTTAACAACAATTTCCCTTGCTTTTTGTCTGTCTCAGACTGGTTTCATGTATTTATATGCATGCATACTGTATATGGGTTGAAGCATCTCCACTATATAAGCCTAATTTTAAGTAAATTCTCTTTCATATAAAAAAGAGAAAATTTTCTAGTATCCTCCACTGCAAAGGGAAAACCTGAGCATTTATTCACATTCTCTAGACATTATAATGTAGAAATACTGCATTTCACTAGAAAACTGCAATTTGCATTTACTAGCAGAAACTCTCTAGAGTATTAGGATCAAAATCCGACCTGCAGTGGCAACACTTCACAGAGTAATCTTTTTTATCTGAAACTCTAAGCTGCTGTGGGTGGGGTTACCACATGGTGCCAAACTTAAAAACAAAGTGAGTGCAAAACAAATTAAGTAGATCTAGGACTGGCAGCAACTGACTCGCACAACCAGGTAATGGAAATTAGAGATGGAACCTAGTAAAAAAGAGAAAACAATCTGGGATTTGGGGCCAAATATGGAGCAGAAATGAACGGGAGAAGTCAGCTAAACTGTGGTACAAATCAGGAAGGAGATAGGAATGGAGTGCTGGAAATGGGAGCTCTTGATGAGATGGGGTAAAAAGTACTAATTCTGGCATTTCCAAGTTGAAGAGCTTAAGTTTCCAACCCTAAGAATGACTGCATAAGTTTTAGATATATGTACATGTTTATTATAGGGGGGAAAGAATATGTGCAGCATCATGTCATGTAATTAAAAGCAGAAAGGGTGCTTGGACACTGAGGTGTATCTGCCCTCTGAATTATCTGCTCACCACAGGTCTGTTGATACACATGACTTGCTAAGATGGAGAACTGATGCAGAGAAGGGCAATGCATCTCGTCCCAGACCACCGTGAATGCCTTCAGCAAAGACAGAAATCAAGCTCAGATAACCTGGGTATCAGACCTGAGGTTTAACCAAAAGGCACTCACTCTTCTTGCCTAGTGACAACCCAGGATGGATTGGACAACCTCTCCTATTCTGAAACACTGCAAGGCAGCACGCCAGGAAGAATCACTGAGAAAGAGATGGGGAGTGTCTCTGCATGCCACTGCCTGGATGGGTAAAGAGGAAGAAGAGCTGAAGAGATCTAAAATAATAGAAGCAGAAGCCTACCACATCTTTCTCTTCCTTTTTTGTCTGCTATTAGCTGACAGACCCTCCCTGCTTCTGAAGGAATGAAGAGAATCACTGTGAAATTCTGGAATTTCAAGGGCCATCTCTCCCTAAGACTGCCTTGCTGCACAATTTCTGCCATAAGCAGAATTAGTCCTGCAGAGCCTACACACAGCCCTTCTTCCCCTTAATGGTCTAAAAACACTAAAAAAAACTCCAGCATATTCCTCTGCACTGTGCATATGCAGGATTCACACAATACACATTTCTATAATGGGGATTCATTACAATCAAGGCTGAACGTGCCTTGACAATTGTCAATGACAGATTACGTCAGTGAAACAGCAAGTCCATCCTTGCCTCCTCCCACACAAACACATCTGGACAGAACTTTTATTGTGTCCTCCAGGTAGTCTGTCAGCGCTACAGAAAACCATGGATACAAGGAGTTTCTCCCAGAAAACAGTGACTCTGATATATGTAATTACATCATACTTCAGGCTACATGAGGCTACTCTTCATGATGCCAGTTAAGACTCTGTAGTGACCTGAAGACTACCCAAACTTTGGACTAAACTTAGCAGTTCACTTGTGATAGCAAAGAATTCTTGACTGCAGTCTCCCCACTTCGCTGAACTGACAAAGTTAGCTGCATCACACTGCTCAACCCCATCTGAGCCTCCCACTCTGACTGACAGAAATACCTGGAGACTCCCTGCATGACTATCAATGGAAATGTTACAGTTTCATCTCATTATCAGTGTTCACAGTATGGATAAAGCCATTCTTGAAATTAACTTACGGGTGTGTGGAGGAGCATCTCATTAAAGCTCAATATCTCAGCCATGATTCACTCTGTTTTGTTCCTTTCCATGCTGGCTGAAAGTACCAACTATATGGGTAGGTAAAACTGTTGCCTTGAAAAGCTCTGAGGTTGGTTACTGTGTGTGCTCCAAGGGGAAAGGAGTCATAACTGGATTACCTTTCTCTGTGAACAGTGTGGCATATTGTTATAGATTCCTTCCTTCCTTCACCCCCCAAACCAAAGAGATCACACGACACCAGTATCAACCATGCTGGGCTGCATGCCAGGAGAATTAATGAAGTGGTGTAATAGCTCACATGGAGGTCTAGTGATTGGCAACACACTTAAAATGCATCTGCAAGGCAGGAATCATAGCGTTGCTGCTGTGTTCTGTTTATTACAGGCACATCTCTTCCGTTCCATTGATTTCTTTATTAGTGCATTTTAAGGCCACAATGTGGGGGCTGGATCTGCTTCAAGCACGCAGGTTTGAATTCCAGCACAGCTTATGGGAAGAAAGTCTCCCTTTGAGACTCCAGATCTGGATAACAGAGCTCAGTGCTAACGAGAACAGGAACCCTACTGAGAGGTTCCCAAGGAGTATGAAAAATCCTACAAGGCAATTGAGGCTGGGTTGGTTTTTATACTTCCTCTTTTTTTTTCTCATGGAAGGAAGGGGAACAATTTCTCTACAGAGTGTAGAGGCTTTGTGGCAACTGCAGGGAGGACTGCATTTCCTGATCTAGAGGGGAAGTTTGAAAGAAGGTGCAAGAAACAGATGTGCAGAATCACAGAATGGTTTGGATTGGAAGCAAACTTTAAAACTTAACTAATCCAATGCCCCTGCAATGAGCAGGGATATATTCAACCAGACCAAGTTTCTCAGAGCCTCATCCAACCAGACCTTGAATGTTTCCAGGGATGGGGAATCTACCGTCTCTCCAGGAAACCTGTTCAGTGTTTTACCACCCTCAATGTAAAAAACTTCTTTCTTGTATCTCATCCACATTGACCCTTTTTTAAGCTTAAAACAATTATCCCTTGTCCTATCACAACAGGTCCTGCTATAAAGTCTGTCCTCATCTTTTTTATAAGTCCCCCTTTCAGTACTGAAAATTTGCAATAAGGTCTCATGGAGCCCTTTCTCTCCAGACTGAATAAGCCCAATTTTATCAGTCTGTCCTCATGGGGAAGATGTTACAGCCTTCCAGCCACCTTCATGGCCTCCTCTAGGCCCAGTCTAATAGGTTCATAGCCTTCTTATGCTATGGACCCCCCAAAGCTGGATGCAGTGTAGATCTCAGCAGAGCAGAGTGGCAGCGTCCCCTCCCTCTCCCTGCTGGCCATGCTGCTTTGGATGCAGCCCAGGACACGTTTGGCTTTCTGGGCTGCAAGTGCACATTTCTGGGTCACATCGAGCCTTTCATCCACCAGTAGCCCCAAGCCCTTCTCAGCAGCACTGCTCTGAATCCTTTAATCCCCCAGCCTGCACTGATGATACTGAGTGTCTCCCTACCCAAGTACAGGGTCTTGTAGTTGACCTTGGCATCACAGCTCCTTGCTTTTCATCTGTCCTGCTAAGACCTCAGATCTTAACTTTACACGGACAGGAGAGAACTGGTGGGTCTCAATTTACTCACCAACCAGCATTCTATCATATGAACTTCAAATACTTTTGATATCCATTATTTATGACTTGGAAAGCAAAGGCTAGGACTGAGAGGCAGTGTCTGGTCTTTAGAGGGAACCACAATCCCTCCATGTCTATCCTGAACTGCCATGGTCCAGAGAAGACAAAAACCAAACAAACCATGAACTGTAACCAGTGGAGGATGGGCCTGGGCTAAGTCATCAGAATCACACTACCAATGGCTAAGAAAAGTCAGTCTGCATGAGAGGAAGTAGAAATCTGCTGGTACTGTCTGGTTTCTGTGCTTGCTATTAAAACAAATTAACACAGCTATGAGCTGGTGTAATGGTGCCAGGCTGCAGCAGCTCAATGCAGCTGCTGCCCTTGTTACAGCTCAGTGCCACAGCCCCTGCACAGTAACCTTGGCACTGGGAACTGGGGAGCATGGTCTAGTGGTGCCTGAAGGCAACTGAATTTGCATGGAAAGTCTTTAGACTGCCCCTGCAATATTCCTCCAGGCAGGCTTCTTTGCACCTGCATTCATGCCCTGCCAGTCATTGCAAAGGACCCTGCTTCCTCCTGTCACTCCTGCATGGGAGCTGACAGAAGCAGTGTGGAGCATGAATACAAAGAGCTGCATGCAAGGAGACAGCCTACACAGGACATGCAAATTCCATTTAAAACATTTTTCTACCCCTTAATATTTTTTGAAAGCTTCTTCTTAAAACAGTCAACCACTGCTTTCAGTTCCCAAAAATCATATGGCCAGTAAATGCAAACACACCAGCATACACAGATGAATCCAAACCTGAAAGCCTTGATTTTTATATCTGTATGTGACACCTGCAGTGGACTGCTTTTCACTGTAAAGCACTAAATTCCCCTTCTTTCAGCTTCCTTCTACACAATGTGCATCATATAAATTTATTGTCTTGCTGGAAAACACCAGTGCAGTGTGTAGGACTGCAGGTCTTTACTGAAACCCTTTCTATAGACAACTTCTGTGTCTGGAATCTGTCCCTCATTTTTGTAATATGCTTTGAGACACTTACCCACAACTGGTTTCTAACAAGCTGTCCCCAACCTGCAATGATGCCATCCCGAAGTCTGCTATCCGGATGTTGTTCTTTTCATCCAGCAGTAGGTTTTCTGGTTTTAAGTCCCTGTGGCTGTAAAGAAAGGGTCAAAATGTAAATTAAATTATCCACAACAGCTTTCTCACTCCGTGACTTGTTTTTTATTCAGAATAGCACCCAACCTGTTTTACTTTAATTAATTTAATTTGTTTTCCTGTTCCAGGCAGGAGAATACACATATCCAAGATCCAATCCTTGCAGTATTCTAGACCATATCCCAGATGCCCTCTCCTGATGAATGCAAGGCCTGCAGTGTCCTGACAGGAAAGAAACATCTCCAACTTCCAGTGAAACCAACACAACATGAGGGAGAAACTGAAGGAAATAGAAGGAGGAGAATTTCAGCCTGGATTTAGGGCTGGGATACCCTATCATATGACAGCTCCTTAAGGTAGGAAGCAACACCATCAGTATATTCTGTCAACAACAGGAAACTAAATGAGTGATATAAAGAGTAAAAACCTTTTTGATGTAATGCCACTGCAAAAAGCTCCTATTAGGAGTTGTTTACGCAGGCATACTTTGACATAATTTTGGGTAATTAACTCTGAAGGAGAAATCCCTTCAACTCAGCAGTGTTTTAACTGAGGGTGTCAGCAGTGGGAAGGAGAGAGAGGATTCCCTCCTTTCCATCAAAGTTTGATTCTCTTATTATGTATCAACATGACAAGAGCCAGGCAGCCACAACCTTCATGATGGCAACTCCTGCTCCACATCATATATTGACAAATTTATTAATTTCCACTGCTCACAGCCAAAACCACTGTGCTCCCATGTCTGCATCTAAGTACTCGGGAGATTCTGTACTACTATAGCATTCACTTGATTCTATATGCAAAGACAAAAATCTTGCAGAAAATTGCAGAAAATTAATCAAAAATGATGAATGTGCCTTTTTTTTTTTTTTTCTTTTTTATTTTAAGCTCTTGGAAAGTCACAGAGATGAGAGAAGCACTTCAGACAGACCAAAGAAAAAGCTCTTTTCTTGGTTTTGCTTATGAGTAGGCAAAAATACTCTGATAATAAAAGGTCTAAATAGCAGCACCCAAACAGGCAGGACTGCCAGCTTCTGTGGATAGGCAGAACACAAATTTGTGGGAAATGGACATCCAACAACACTGAGTATCAGGCAAACCCACTCGCAAAAACTTAGAACTAAAAGCAGTTCCTCTGACCATAAACTGAACTCAGCAAAAGAACCAGGTGTCAGAATAGTCAAGTGACACCAATCATGGAAGGCAGGCTTATCTTTGTGCCATTTCCTCTTCACTTTTTAAAACGTTCCTCTAACACTCCTCAGGCATGTCAGTGCAATTCTACCCCTACAAAAATGAAAAGGTGAACAGTCTCTTTCCTCTCAGAGCAACATGAGCAGCATGACAAGGCCTTGGAAATTAGATCCTCTGATCTGAAGAGAAGAGGAATGATCAGTTAGAGACAACTTGTAAATAATGCAGGTAAATTCTATGTAAAACCAGAGCACACAGTAATAGGATACCTGGGGACTGAACAATTATTTCCAAAGGAAACTCCCAACAAAATAGCACACATTCAAAGCAGTTACTGGTCATTCACCCCACTGAGACCTATGATTTGTTCTCTCCTGCTTTTTAAAATTTAGTCTCCAATCTTGCATAAATATGATGAACCCTTCGTGTTACAATGGCCTTGTTAACAATGAGAAAACAAGCTTGTGAATAATAATTGTGATTCAGATGTGTGCACATTTTCAACTGAAAATGAAAAAGGTGCTTTATCCAATCTGTATTTCTCATACAAATTCAAGGTTTGAGATAACAGACACTGAAGACTTATTAGCTCCATAATAACCATCAAGATAGTAATAACTAGTTGACAAAAAAATGCAGGAGATGAGTGACAAGGAAAGGTTCCAAAGGCAGTGAATGACCAGCTAATGGCCAGGAAAAAAACCCCTGAATGTCATTATCAAGGACAGCAGTCCCAGGCAAAGGCAAGATCATCAACACCCGCTAAAGTTTAACATACTCCAGCTCCAGCAGTGAAATAGAGTGAAGAGCCCATGGTTCTAAAGCAAGTGAGGAAAGCTGATGCTAATGAGACAGTAGTGTGTGATTTCATCCTTCCTCCAGCAGACATTCCGGACAGTTCTCATCTTACAACTGCTTTCATTAATGAGAAAACCTTATCCAGCTGTGGAGGTGTGCTGCAGTTCCCCTGTCTGAGTGCTCGGGGGCAGGTAACAGCTCCTGTAGAATGAGTGCTGCTTGTTTGATGCTATGAAACAAGAAATCTCCCCACAGCTCAAGCTGAGTGTGTGTCCTGCTGTGCAGAGTTTTTCAGCAGCTATAGTCGTCTTTCAGTCTTGGCAACTGCTCCTGGCTGACTGCTGAACACATACATGGTACAGAAGTTGAGGGTGCTGCTGTCTGTGCCTGCTCCTCTGCTTGTGCACTGCATGATTCTTATATACAGTCTATAACATATTATTGACATGTGACTTTTGTGCCTAAAAATTGAATCCTTTGCTTATCCTCAAACTATGTGGCTCGTTTAGAGAGCAGGAACAACCCAGGTGGAGCACGACCTAAGCACAGGATGTCCACAAGCCTAGATGTACGTTCACAACTAAACATCTTATTTCAGGAACATGGTGAAGTTAAAGGAAATGCAAAAATGTTCCGTTTCCATGGCTGAAAGCTTCCAGCCTTGGCAGATCTGCCACAGGCCCCAGCTGGAGCACAACGTGTGTGAATCTTGAATGAGCCCCACTTCCCAACCACTAAGAGGCAGTGAAAGGGAAAGGACAACACCTTTGACAACTGGGACAATATTCAATCATGGAGTCTCCTCCCTCCCTTCTCCTTTTCCCCTTCTCTCTTTCTCCCTGTGTCATCCTGTCTTCCCATCAGCTGGGATCCCCAACACAGCTTTAGGACTGAGTTTTTAGGGAGAATCAAGTGGGGAAATGAGGTTCCTATAAGCTGCCATGTATGTTATTATTTTTTTGAGGTTACTGCAAGAAAGGGAGGAAAAAGGGAGTACCACTATCCCACTATCCACATTCTGAACATGGAGTAAGCTTCACCTCACTGTGCTGCACAATGTTTCCCATGAATGATCAGTCTAATGGAGGTCTTTAGGCAGAGGTGCTGACCCAGCTCCCAGTGAGCACTCTGAAAGCCTTAAGTTGGGATCTGGGCATTTGTGGAACAGGGATAGTATGTGTGAAAGTGTGCGAAATGGAAAAGGTATTGTCTGACATGAAAGTAAAACTGGAGTAGCAACAGACCTTAATAGGTTTCTTTTCTTTTCCTCCAGATCTCATCAAAATAAAACCAAGAAAACTTATCAGCTCTTCACTATAGAAATTATCACTTCACTGAGCAGAGAGGAGAATTGTTACATTTATGGCTGCCTGGCTCCCAAAATACAAGAATAGTTTTGATACAGAAGTTTTGCATCTCTCTGACCCTTTTCCATCCCTTTTTGAAGACAGTCTCTAGTGCCCAATATGGATGGTTAGCCTAGGAATTTCACAGCAGCCTGAGCATGAATTTTGTATTTTGGCAGCACTGCCTTCAGAGATCAGGATGCCAGTGGGATCAGGCAGTACTTACACATTCACCCACAAGTGAATTATATGTCCCAGTGAAAATCTTCCTTTAGCTGGAGCATTTATCTGATATCTATCTTTGGGGCACTTTGAATTTGCCGATGCAGGATCCTGGGGATAGGAGTCAGGCCAGAAGTTTGCACCAGAGCAGCAGAACCAGCATCGCTGCCGCTGGGAAAGAGACTTCCTCTCTGCATTTGCATTTCCCATCTTTGTATTGCCATCTTTGTATTGCCAGCTTTTCAAATGCCAGGGGGAAGGGAGAGAAACACATGGGAATAGGGAAGGCTTGTTATAATTTACCTAAGAGCCCAGAAGACAGAACTGTCTAATGCATTCACATTTGAAAAGAATTCTCTTGTGCCAAAATGAAACAAAACAAAACCAAACCCCCTCTGTATGTGGTAATTACTTGGCATTAATGGAACAGTGCAGAGTAAATGCATTTAATCTGGTTCCATTCCAGCTGATCTCTCTGGCTCTCCATGTCTTACATGACTGCATCAACTCCTCTCTCTGCAGGTGAACAGAGAACTTGTTACCCTTTCCTTGTTCTAAAGGCTCTAAAGCTGTTGTGCCTTTATCACATGGCTAGAAAACCAGAAAAGAAGAAAGCAGCTTCTTTTCTGACAAACACAGCAAACCCTCCAATTGAGCTCTGCGTAAGCTGAGAAGAAATGAGAAAGAGAAATGTAGGACTGCAGAAGAAGTCAGTGTAACCCTGATCCATTGTGGCCACGGACTCCCAGAAACTCCTCAACCAAGACAACAACAAAGAAGTCAGCCCCTGGAGCCAGCATCCAGTGGGCTTTTGAAGGGAAAGCATGTGAGTGAAAGGGACCTACGGAGCAAGCCCTGGCAGGGGAAGCACACGCTGTCAGACTCTCTGCAACATCCCTCTTTCACAAATTACAACAAAGGCTTTACAGTTTCCTTGCAGCATAAGATGGATGCAGAGACAGCTCTGAAAAAATTGTTCCACGGAAATGGGCACCATTCTTGGAGATGGTACACGAAAAATGAAAGGCACAGATATGCATTAACATGTTCCAGCTTCCCACTTCCACACTGGCCATGCTTGCTTTCTAGCCACAGCCGGAGATGCTGTTCAGACAATTCCTTTCATTTACTCCAGTGCTTTTCCAGTCCATCCTCCTGCTCTGAGAATATCCCTGTACCTGTACTGCAGCAATTGCAAAGAAACACGCTCCGCCTGTCACCCAGGGCTGCCAGAAGAATTCTGGTGTAGGGACCGACTCTAGATCTTGGATTCAAAGGAGCTGTCACCTGGCATGAGATGACAAACGAAGCCATTATTTTAAAGTGATGTTTGAGCTGAAACGTTCATATCAGTTTCTATGACAACTCATTGTAGGTCACAGATTTCTAACCCAAGAAACCTCTTAATTGGAGTAGTCGCAGGTCATTTGTACTAATC